CCCTCGTTCGTAAGATTCCGTTTAAAAGAGAGCTCAATACAATAGTAAAGCAATATTCTTTATTTTAAGATATTACATCAAAAACCCGTAAAAACCCAACACGAATGAAATCATTTTTTTGATGTGTATTAACACATCTCTTCAGGCATATATATATATATATATATATATATATATACATAGCTCCCACCTCGACTACTTTTGTATATAAAATTTAATAGGTAAGTCCTTAAATAAAACTAATACCCACTATTTGCAACCCTTTCTTTCTCGCTCTTCCTCCCCTTTTCATACTCTCTCTCTCTCTCACTCTCTTGTTTCCTCTTTTCCTCCCATTACGTCCACTCTCCTTCCTAGTTTTTACTATCTTTCAAAATCGCATCTTTCTTTCTCTCCAACGCCCCCCCTCTCGCTGTCAAACATAGGACTCACAATTTATGTTTAGGAAGCAGAATAGTAGAGCAAGAAAAACAAGATATGATTCTGTTTCTCTCCCCCTTTCTATCTACTGACTCTCCGTCTTCTCACGCATTGTTCTTCACTTTTCCCGTTTATAATATCTCCTTTCCTCTTCTTCCCTCTTTCCCTCACAACTTTCCCCCTCTCTCTCTCTCCTCGAAAAGGGGATTTAGAATGGTTCTAAACAACGGAAGCGATAGCAGGATATGTGTACGAAATGAGAAATCGGATGGCAGCGTTCGAATTCCACTCCTTTCATTGCATTCTGTTTGATGCGCTATTGCCCTAGGTAATAGTAATGAGGATATTGGTCATTTCCCTTGTTCATGATGACGGTCGTCTTTGAGTATAGAATCCAGAGGTTAGCAGTGAATATTTCGAAGACAGTAGGAAAGCGTAGTTCAGGTTAGCAGTGGATATCCCGGTAAAGTAGCAGAGCGTAGTTTAGTAGTTCTTCCTTCTGTTCTTTCGCCCGACAAGTTGACACTGGACATTCGGAGAGAGTAAACAAAATGGCCGCCTTTATACACGACGGATTGAATATTTTACGTCTTCTGATTGGTAAACCTGCTATTGGTGGACTATAAAGGGAGTCAACTCATTTTGACTTGCTCACTAGTACATACATATACACAGAAAACTGCAACAATTTCCCTACAAGGAGATTGTTGTGGAGTAGCTGAACACCTCCACAAGATGAACTGGTCTAAGACTATGTAAACAACACCCTCGCTTACTGAGGGAGTGTAGTTAACGGTTAACTGTTTATTACATTACTCTGTGTTCCCAACCGCGTACTATATTAGTCTCCGGAATAAACTACTTTTCATTTTCTATATGTGTGTAAACCTTTCCTATTTACGACATAACAGAAACATATCGCATTCATTGATCGATCTGCTGGTACTGTTTGGCGTTGAAATTTATAAAATTTTTCTCTTAAAAGACTTTTTAGGAAAATAGGTACCTCAAATCCAGTAACTGTTATTTCCACTAAGGATGGGGGTTTCCATCCTAACTTTTTATTTGAAGTAAT